ATATTGTGAAACTGGAGTTAAAGAAGGAGCCACTCTTGTGTATGGAGGAAGACAAGTATGTAGACCAGGTAAAATACTTTTCAGAGGTATTTGGAACTTTTACACTTTACGCAAAAGCAATCACAATTGCCTCAGCTGCATTATGTGAAGTAGTAATATCATGGGAATACTACCAGGTGAGCTTATGATACCACAGGGCTTTCAAGTCTCACATTATGAGAAGCTGTGCAGCTGAAGTGTAAGTTATGACACTGAATCAGAGTCTAGTCTGTATGGGAATGTTTTGCTTATTTATTCCTGTTAAGGCTTTTCTTGCAACACCCTTGAACTGTCAAGAGCCATAAGTATAATCATATTTCTTTAGATCACAGTAACACTAAAGCTGACTGAGGAAACTACTAGCAGAGGTATTATTATCAAAAGCTTTTTTTGCTATATAGACAACATGCACACCAAGTTCAGTGGGCAGACACAAAACCAACGTTTTCTCATGGACATCTGTCCTTCATTAATAATGAAGAAAAAACATTTACATCAGAGTTTCAAAACATAATGATTGCATCCCTAAATAAAATGAAAGTAGAGACTCGTAAACTATAGGAAATCTATGTAAAAAAAACTAAATGGGAAATCTTAGGGAAGGGAAGGGCATTTATATAAAATCTCTGAAACTGATTTTACACACTCAAAGTGGAATACAATCACTCACCAAGACATAGGATTGCTTGTGTGTAACACCAGGACAGTTCTTGATTGACAATGATGAGCTAGCTTTTGGACAAGTCTTTACACCCTTCAGAAATGAACAGTCATTATGAGGCAATCCTTTGCCTCAGGCATGTATTTCTTTTTCTGCCATATCAGATCTTTATGGCTACAGTGGCCTCTGCAACATGCTGTAACCTTGTCTTCCTGCTGTCAGAGTACAGGGTCTCTCCTTAGGAGTCACCTGGCCTGTGGCATGCAGACCCTCTGGCCTGGCAGGGAATAGCATGTGTTGTCACTGATCAATACAGGCCAGTCTTTTACCCTTTTTACTGACGTTTCTCTGGTGCTCATACACATGCATTTGCATTCATATTTCATTCATATCTATTTTCTGTTTCAAGTTGTAACTTATCTATGACCTCAAAGTATGGCAAAGAGATGGCCTGGACAATAGGATACCATTAAGCACTCTTACCATGCTCAAACAATGTTCTTCTATCCTCTATCTAGGTTTCTTCATGGAACCCACTGTATTCACAGATGTTGAAGACCATATGTATATTGCCCAGGAAGAGTCCTTTGGTCCTGTGATGGTGATTTCTAAATTTAAAAATGGGTATGTTCTCCTCTTGTCACTGTTAGAAACTTCATTTTCCTATTTCCCCCCTAAGTGAAAAAGTGATAACATATTCAGTATTTTGTTAAATCTTGTTAGACCAATCTGAATACCTAGATCCTCTTCCAGCTAAATTCTGAGAAAATACCTTTTTTTAGTAGGGGGTATCCTGCTCCATGTCAATATAGACCTAATGCTGTTGGCAGTGTGTGACAGGATAGAATACAACCCTAAGTGCCAGTTCTTAAACAAGACTTAGTTTTCAGGGAAATGTTTTATTGAAGTTGATGTGGTTAGGGCTGCAACAGCTTGATTAAATTACAAAATGTGTATTTTTCCCAGTGGAATTGCTGATTTTTTCTGTCACAAAAGACCACATAGTGTTGTTGTGCATTGTGTAGCACTGGCATGTTACTGTTGCAAATGAAAATTCCTCTGTATGTTTTGTAAACTGCCAGTTTTAATATCTTCCATTCCAGATCATAAGAATTATTTTACACAGAGATGAGATTGAAGCCCTACATAGAAACTTCTTATAAGTATTTCCACCAGGTTTCATTTTCTGCACTTTGATAATGCAGTTAAGAATGAGCCACATAGATAACCCTTCACATCCATAAATTATGTACAGTGCTAAGGAACTGTTTTGAATTTTTTAAAGTTTTAAACTGTTATGGATTTTTGAAGCTATATGGAGATGACGTGCAAATAGAAAAGAAGCACTCTGGAAATGGCCTGAAAAGTTGTGTCTTGATAGAAGACATAATAATAAATGCTGACTTTCAGCATTTTTTCTCCATTAACTTATAAAGCTGGCCAAAGTTTTAGCAAACTGATTCATCATCTGCTGCCAAGCTCTCTTTTACAAGTATTTTTGTATTGCTTTAATCCCCAAGTTGTACAGTAGCTGAGCAAAGTTGGTATGCATACAGCAACATTTCCTGTGGCATTTCTCAGTGCAGATATTAACCATTGAAATGTAAGGCCAAAAGCTTCACAAGTTTGAAGCAAGGGTGTGAATTTCCATGGATCTGTCAGATTGACACACCGATCCGTCCTTAACAAGTTGTCTTTAAAAAGGCTCCTTGGAGAAGGCAGGCCATGAGAAGAGGTGCTTCAGTGACACTGAAGGTGGAAGGTGGCTAACACTTGTTTACTTTACCTGGATGCAATTAGATAATTTCTTTCTCCCACAGAGATGTCGATGGAGTATTGCGACGGGCAAATGCCACAGAATATGGCTTAGCTTCGGGAGTTTTCACAAAAGACATAAGCAAAGCTCTCTATGTCAGTGAAAAGCTAGAAGCTGGAACAGTTTTTATTAACACATATAACAAAACTGATGTGGCAGCACCATTTGGTGGATTTAAGCTGTCTGGCTTTGGGAAAGATTTAGGTAAGTTGCTCTCCCTCTCTTGTTTCTCATCTGAGAGTCCTAATCAATGAACAAAACATTTTGCCTGTGTACAGGGTATCCAGTAAAATGTAAGCTATGGATTCACTTCCTGCAATTCCTCCAATTACAGTAATCTAGTTTCTCTCCCTTCCTTCAATATTCACACCTCAATACCTCCCATTCAGCTCATCCTGTACATTTACTAAATAATGCTACAGCACACAGAATATTCCCCTCCAACTGCTCTCAGAGCAGTCAAATTGCAACTTGTCCAGAGCAGCCTACAGGCTACAAAATGCTGTCAAGTAACAAAAATACTGGCCAAAATATTTTTTCCCCGCAGAAAGAACACTAATTTAGGTTTCTCCTGTAAACTTTAAAGAGCATGGAGCATGGGAAACTTTTTTATGCCTTAAAATGTCACCAAAATTTGCCAACAGAGAAAGATGCATTAAAAATATTTCTTTACAGAACGAGTTTTTAAAAAAATTGAAGTCTACCCTGTCAAAGAAACTTTACAAGTCTGGACAGATCAATCCTCAGGACAAAATAAAAAAGGAAAACCAAATTTCACTAACACAACAGATTTTTGCCTTTGGAATCTCCAAAGCCATTTCCTGAAACTGAGTGATGATAACAGGGAAAAAAAAAGATTACTGATTTTTACACAGCTTCTCTACACCTATAAACTTTAACACAGGCAAAGCAAAGTTCATAAATTTATCTATGAGCCCTCAGTGGCCATCTAAAGACTGCTGCTGCTCCAGTCCCAGCCGGGGGGCTGCTTGTTAAATTCCAGCTCTTTTTTCTTTCCAGTTCTTTTTTCTTTCCACATCTGTTGGGTTTGACCTCTTCTTGTCAAAACAGTTCTGTAAATCTCAGTGGGAAGGTAAAGTAATTAGTTCCCATTGTTTTTATGGACTCAAATATTGGCTACAGCATTTTAAATTTTTTTTTTAATAATAGTTACAGCCTGACAACATTCTCTCATTTAGCTGCTATTCTAACAGGGGAATATTTTGCTTGTACAGGTGAAGAAGCTCTTCACGAATATCTCAGAACCAAGGCTATCACTGTGGAATATTAAAGTAACAGCTTCACTTGGGAAGTGAACTTTCAGCAGAGTCTGAATCTTGATGACTACATGAAGCACTCAACACCATGCCTAGGATATGCTGTCTGCAGTGCTACAACTAAGCAAACAAAACAAAACACTCATTCCATGGATAAATTTCTATAAATCAAATCCAAACTTTAGTCTCACTGACAGATAAAGGCTTTTTGAAATTACCCTCAAATTATTTAAATTATGCAGCAGCAACAGTTGGTAGCACAATTCCTGCCCCCCCCCCCAAAAAAAAAAAAAACCCTAGAACATGATTCAGTTTATTTTTTTTAATAGAACTGAAGAATGAGTTCTCACATGCCTACTTTGTATTTCTGTGACATGATACTTAAATGATCATTTTAAATCATTAGTCATTAGGCTTCAACTGAAATATACTGATTATGCCATTTTTGCTATAAATCAGTTCAAGTTTTACAGTAGCAATTAAACACTCTGCTCTGGTGATTCTTCAGCAGTACAAAACCTTTGTGCCATACATAAATCAATGCAAGAAAGTGCACTTACTATGATCTTTGTATAGTACATACAGAGTTCAACATTGGTGTTAAACTATGCATATCAAGCTAAAGTTACTGAAAATATTTTCTACCTTTTTGTTGATACAGAATGTGTGATCTGCCTGCAATTTGAAAGGTGATTACATTAACAGATTAAAATCACTTCTTGTGTCTGTGCATATGGACTGTTATCACTCTTTCATACAGTATGATTATTATTTTGTATTTCATACTTTCGGGGGTTTTTTATCTGTGGGAAAATCTCCTGTAAAATGACCAAGGTAAGATGTTGGCTTTAAAACTTTTTTTCTATTGGAAGAAAATGTTCTATAGATTGAAACCTTATCTAACAAACTATGCCTACTAAGACTACTTGCTCTTGGAATGCAACACCACCCAAAGCTTCATCTGATCTGTGTGCTGCCATTAAAGGTAGCAGTCTTTGATTCCCATCCTTCCCCTTTGCTAAAATATTCAGTGGTGTAATCATTTAATCCCAGTAAATCGTGTCTTCATTCTATGTTTAAGTCACATTGTGAAAGGAAGATCAGAATCCTTGTTGTTTCTTATCACAAATATTACAGAAACAGATACTAAAACTGGAGCTTTAAGTATGGGATTCAAAATAAATTTTGTAAATAACTGCAGGCTTCATTTCATGACATTAAGTTTAATACTTGAGCAAATACAAATATAGAAAATTTTACTTTAATGGTGTAGAAAATACAAAGTTTCTTTAAGAAACAATGACATCCAGCATGACAGACACTTCTGAAATGCAAACCAATCTATGAAGTAAATACAGCAGCCCAAATCATTGTACTTGATCCATCTGAGGTAAGTATGAATGAGACTCACTGATCCTAGTTTCACAATTGTTTCAAGCTAACCTAAGTACAGGCCAGCTGAAAATTCACCTTTTTAACATTCTGACAGTGACAGTGGTTAACCAAATGAAGAGAATGGAAATGTAGCAGGGAAAGCAGGGGATGAAAAGTGTAACTTAAAGCAACTGTAACACCCCAGAGGCACAGTGGACCATTTGAATATGGAGGTTATTTGCACAGCCACGAATGTTTCACATGTGAGCTTGTAACATTCCCATAAAGGTGCAGAGCTCAATGCAGGAAGAGAGTAAGTAATCCTCTGCCATGGCTGTCCTTACCCATGCTAGCCCAGCTGGAAAGGACCTCAGCCACTGCTCTGGTGTTCAGCAGTCATTGTCATGAATGCAATGTAGACATACCTCTGAGGTACTTTAAGATAATGTTTAATATGGAAGACATTGTACATAACAATATAAAAACAAAGCTTTTTTCCTAGTTAACTCTTTCTTGCCCTTGAAGTAAAAATGTCTATCATACTATAAAAAAAGCCCTTTTCAACGAAGCAACAGAACAAGAATTTTAACTTAATTCCTTCAAGTGATCCTTATTCCAGCTGCTTTCTCAGTCTAATCTACTACAAAGTCCATGTCCATGTTTTTGGATGAATCAAATCGTACTTAAATCTTCAGAAACCCAGCCTCCTTCAGTCATGAGTTGATCCTGAATTCACCACATAAACTATAGCATTTCACACAATCCTGAGAGATGCTACACTGGGAAACAAAATAGTTTTAAGGGTCAAGTCTTCAAAGTGAGAAGACATGAGTTGGTTTGGTTGGGTTTTTTTAAAGTAAAATAAAATGGATTTACTCATTCACTTTGCTGTCCAAAATTTCTATTTTGCCCTTTTCTCCCTTTTGCTTAGGAAACTTAATGTTGTCTATTGTCACTTCATCGCTGACAGAGTCATCTTCAGATTCTGAGTCATATTCTGAAGTTAGCATCTCCTCATCTGTATCAGAATCACTCAGTTCAACTACAGCCACATTCTGGAAAAGAAAAAGACCTTGGTTAACACATTATACATTTCTGTATCACTTCTATCATTGGAGTAAAACATAAAGCAAACACATGAAACATCCTACTACCATAAGAAAACCACAACCACAATATGAAAGACTTTTGGGTTTTCCTAGGATTATGACAAATATCATGAAGAGATGCCTAAATATTTAAACTGTAATTTATCTTGCCCTATAGCAAATATAAGGCCTGAATCCAACCAGTGGCCAGTAAATTTTTCTGACAGCTCACACACCAAACCCCAGGCTGCCTTATCTCTGCCTTTTACCTTGTGGGTCTGCAGGCCAGAAGGCACTTGGCTGGGTCATGCACATACCACCTTCATATTAAAATTTTCTTATCTAAGCATGTGGCTGCAGCACTTTAGTTAAAACCAGAAAGAAAATATTGATGTGACTGTGAATAAACAGACAAATACCAGCAACAAAGGATCACAACAACATAACAACTTTTCTAAACTCAAGATCTATAGTCCTAAAAATACTGACAGAGCACAGCTTAAAGCCAGTTACTACTCGTACACTAAAGCATTGTTATGCCTTACTAGGCATACAATATAATTGTCCAGTTTCTAAACCAAATTTTCCTATGAGATATTTAAAATAGAATTTGTGACTTTTGATTCAGAGTTGCTGATTCAAACGTATGTCTTACTCTGGTCCTAAACTACTCCATCTTCAGTTATTCAATTCTGCAAGTTTGAAAACCAAGCTGTAAGTATCAACCAAATAAGCATTTTTATGCTTTGTTTTTTTATGTTTATTTTATGTTTTGAATTAGCAGATCACAGACTAAAATGGTAAAGACCTCACCTTATCTATCATATTAACTCATTCTAAGATCAGAGAGTTATTTTAATCACACCTAAATTTACTTTATAAAATTAAAAACATAGTAAGTACTTACCATTTCTATAACTTTTTCTGTCGCACTGTCTAGATTTTCAATATCAAATTGATGAGCTGGTGCTGTTATCATTTTTCTTTTGAGCTCATCATTTGCCTGGGCCATCTGTGGTAAAAAGCTCTGTACTCGGTCCAAAACTGAAACAATTATGACATATATATATTCAAAGAGAGGCACATCAGTTTTCACATTTAGACCTCAGAAATCTGAGCCGTTAAATAGATTCCATTTCAACTGTAATTTCCAGCAGTCTACAGTATTTAAGATGTTTTAATAGAAGCATTTATTAAAGTATTCAATTTTTCAGACAAACAGCAAAAATATATCAGATCTATGGGTCAGCATTTGGTGCAGGAAGAAGTCACTTCAACAATTCCACTTGGATTCTTAAAACAAAATGTGACTACTTTATAGAAAACTTGCTTTCAAATTCCACGGTTTAAAACACATATTAAATGCCATCCTGAAGAACTTCCATATCAGCATTATCTCCAATGGAAATATAATTACATCCTCTTTTCCTCCCTTTTAAAGTATAGTCTGAAGGTCTCGAAGATGGAAAAATTAGCTGTAGCACAGATGCCATGCTAGACTAATGAAAATCAACATAATTAACAAAAAGAACTCTGAAATTAAGATGGTGAGAGAGAGACAGATGCTCTAGGTCGAAGTATGAAGCACTTACTCTCTACAGAATTATCCCTCTAAGCTCAGTGGGACTTCCCAAGAATTTTAAGGTAATCAGTGTCATTAGGAGAATCACACTCATTTCCCTTCCATGGAGGAAAAGAATATGTTCAACCTGCCTCAGAGTCTTTTCAAATAAACTTTGCTGCACACATGCAGGTGAGCCAATCACTAGTTCTCTTTCTTTGAGAAGAGGTAATATTCCAGATGAGCCCCACAAAAGTCTAACAGGTATAATGTACCTTTGAAACACTGTCATCTTTGCAGAGACTTTTATCCAAGAAAGAATTTGATCTAACAATTTTTTTTTTGCTATTACTTTTTAAATTTCAGCTCAATCACAACACAAAAATACAATAATTTGCCAGGAGTCCATTTTAAACTAAACGCTTTTATACAACAGATATATCATACTCAGAAATTACTTCTAAAAAGAAGTAAGAAGCCCAGATCAGAAAAAAAAAAAAAAGGCAACAACCCTATACTGAAAAAGAATAATCTGTCCCTAAAACTTAACAGCGGTAATGCCTAGCATTGCAAAATATAATTTACATCTAAGTTACATGAATAACCTGCGGGACATGGAACTGCAGTGGAGGACCTAGCACCAGTAGAAACCGAACACAAGAGTTTCTCCCTTTACCTATGCAAGGAAAGCACTGAAGAAAAGGTTATGTCACAGATGTTACCTACTCCTTGACACTGTTCCAGTGACAAGCTCCTACTTACCACTGCTCCTTGGCATCCTGACTGTCTGTAAAGTCGTGGCCTTCTTGCTGCTACATTTTGAATTAATCAGCAAAATGTCTTCCAGCCCTGCAAACAAACAAGTATTACAGTGCTTAAGCTGACAAGTTCTCTGTAATTGTCATCTGCTAATGCAGCTCTTGAAAGAAAGAATACAGGGCTACATGGGCCGCTGGCCTGGTCCTGCAGGCCACTTCTTACAGACTCATGCTGTATTTGAAGTATTTACCCAAGATTTATTGAGAGTTACAATGCATTGAAAAACTACCTGTAATATCCCACAGCAAAGCACAGCGAGATAAGAGCTAAGGCGTGCTAGTCACACTGATTTAAATCCCTGTGTGATGAGAACAAGCCACCAACAGCGGTGCCAAGGACCTACACTAACCGTGGGCAGGAGCAGCGCCGTGAAATCCAAGCGACGCAGGGAAATTCAGCATTAATTACACACGTTAATCCCCATGACCGCCAACAGAGCCATCCGCCCGGTATCAGTAACTAAAGCGAAGCTTTCTGCCTTTTTAGCATTGTTTTTTTGGTTCTCATAAAAACGTCGTTACGAATGTCGATATCATTTAAACGCGGATTACCCCACCACCACCACCACCTCCCCATTATTTACTCCCCATTACCGTAGCCGTGCCCGGGAAAGCAGCTCCTCAACACACGAGGGACCAGCGGCGCACCAGCGGCCACAGGTGGGCTGGTGAGCCCCCTGCCTCGGGCTGCCCACGATCCGAGCCCCCGCTCGCTGCCCTCACCTGCCCGCCGTCCCACGTCCAGCAGCTCCCGGGACGCTCCCGGAGCCCCCGCTCCGCCGGGCCCCGCCATGCGCCCGCCGCCACGGGAAAGGCTCCGGCCGCTCCGCCGCGGCGCCGGCAGCGCCCCCACAGGGCGGGAGGAGCACGGCGGCGGGGAACTGCGCGGGAGGGAAAACAGATCACGTCGCAAAGAAAAACAAACGAACGGACAAACAATAACAAAACGAAAAACCGACAACAAAACCACAAACACCCGAAAACAGAACAAAACAAACAACTATTTTGAAATCGTTGTGAAACGGTCAAGGGTTGGACTCGATGATCTCGGAGGTCTTTTCCAACCCGGCTGATTCTATGATTCTATGATTCGAACCTTCTGAAATGCAACGAGGGCCCTGCACCTGGGGAGGAATGACCCCAAGCACCAGCACAGTCTGGGAGCCAACCTGCTGGAAAGCTGCTCTGAGGAGAAGGACGTGAGAGCCCTGGTGGACAACAGGCTGTCCATGAGCCAGTAGCGTGTCCTTGTGGCGAGGAAGGCCAATGGTGTCCTGGGGTGCATTAGGGAGAGCATTGCCAGCAGGCCGAGAGAGGTGATCCTGCCCTTCTACTCAGCCCTGCTGAGGCACATCTGGAGTGCTGTGTCCAGTTTTGGGCTTCTCAGGTCAAGAGAGACATGGAGCTCCTGGAGCGGGTCCAGTGGAGGGCTACAGAGATGATTAAGGGACTGGAGCAACTTTTTTATGAGAAGAGACTGCAGGAACTGGGCCCGTTAAGCCTTGAGAAGGGATGGCTGAGAGGGAACCCCATCATTGTATATAAATATGTAAAGGTGGGGTGCCAAGAGGATGGAGCCAGGCTCTTCTTGGTGGTGCCAAGCAATAGGATGAGAGGCAATGGGCAGAAACACAGGAAGTTCCACCTGAATGTAAGTAGGAACTTCTTTACTGTGCACTGGAACAGGTTGCCCAGGGAGGTTGTGGGGTCTCCCTCACTGGAGATATTCAAGAACCACCTAGACACAATCCTGTGCCATGTGCTCTAGGACAACCCTGCTTAAGCAAGTAGGTTGGACCAGATGACTGATTCTGTGATTTGGCACAAAAAAGTCCATCCCATCTCCTAGAAGAACCATGAGTGTGTAGAACCAAGCTGCCAGCAGGTAACATCACCTGAATGCCTGCCAGTAGCTGCTTGTCTCTGAAAACTCTCCCATTTTCCTTGTCAGAATTTGACAAATGCACCTAAAATTAAACTTCGGAGCCTGAGGGAGTTTTAATCATCTTTTGGAAAAGAAACTTACACAACCAGCAAGTTCAGTTGACATTGGCCAACCTGTTATTCAGGATTTGTTCTGCAGTTTCTGGCCTTTATCTGTTTATACTCTAGACGATGTGAAAACTGTAAAAAGAGAACTGAATGGTTCATAAGAAACGAGATTGGAAGTACAAGCCAAAAGTGAGAAAAAGTAGCAATCAGGTAAGTGGTGTTTATAGGCCCTCATTGCAAAGAACACAGGGGAGAAAAAACCCAAAAAACAAAACAACAAAACCCCAACAAACCACCCAGATCCCAGTGTCTTGGCATTAACAAATCCAAAGCAGTGGGAGGCAAACCTTCCGCAAGGCCTCTGCAAGAGACCTTGAGCCTCAAGTGAGTCTGTCTGAATTTGCGCACAATGCAATATAATAGTGTGGGAACCTCAAATACTATATTTCATCCATGGGTATTATGTGATTTCAGTGGAGGGAGGGGCATAATGCTGTCAAGGAACCTGTAGTAGGGAATGATAAAATAATTGCCCAAGATCACCAGACATGCAATTAGAAAAGCCAGAAATAGCAGCCTCAGGTGTTATTCCCAAACCTGAGGTTTATACTCTAACCTGTTGGCAACAGAGGCAGGTGTGATCATTATCTGATTTGCAAGGTGGCCCAACTATGTATCCACACTGTGTAACACGTGAGCACACACAGGGCATGGATATATATGGTTACTACTAGGGCAGGGAAACAACCAGATCTGTAGCCCAAATTCCCAATACATTCAGGGTTGAGACAGCTGAATTAATAGCTCTGAGGTTTGGGCTACTTCATTCATTTAATGCAGTATCGACTCAAGAGTTCAAGCTGATGCCATATATTTCACTCTTGTAGCACAGATTGTTTTGGCCCCAGTCCTGGAAATACATTTTCCTGTGCTTAAGTTTCTGCTTTGCCACACATCCCCACCACAGCTAGCGCCAGTTTATGTCAGACGCTTGGTGACTTGCCCATGCTGTCTTTTGTTCTGTCTGTAGAAAGGAAAAGGGATGCTGTAGGCTTAGCTGCTGTCACCATCATTAAATCCCAGTTCTCTTTTCTTCCTCTTTCTTCCCTTTCACCTCCCACTTAAGGCATGTCCCACTTAAGGAACAATGGAGGAATAGTATAAGTAATGACAATAAATGCACAAATTTAGCTGGCTTGACTCTTTCAATGTATTAATATAAAGTGTGTCTCAAAACAGGAGCCCAGCAAGGCCTTGGCTTTGTACTTAGCAAGGGAGTTCCTTGCAGACTTACATGTTGTGTGCAGGGTATACAGTCTAGCTGGGCAAGAAAAAGGATTCCAACCGACCCACACACTTAAAAAACTGGATTCCTGAGGAAGCTGCTTTTAGCCAACTGGCAGGAAAGAGCTGACAATCTGGAAACAGCGGCTCTTGTGCTACATCGCCAAGAAAGCTACTGCGAGTGGAAGCAAAGGCACCGCCACCGCCGGCCCCGCCCGGGGAGCGTCCCTGAGCCCCTCTCTCCAGCACTTTTGTCCCCGCGGCTGCGGGGCACCGGCCGGGCCCTCGCCGAGGGAGGGGACCGAGGAGGGAGCAGAAGGACTCAGCTGCCACCGAGGGGACCGGGAGGGAGCAGCGGGGAGGGGGAGGCGGCGGGTCCCCCAGCGCGGGGTGACACGGCCCGGGGCTCGCCCTGCGGGGCCGGGCTGTGAGCGACCGCGGGCACCGCGCCCCATCCCGTCCCCTCGGCCGCGCCCGACTCCTCCCCAGCCCCGCCGGGTCCGGTGGCGGCGGCGGCTGCTGCGCATCACGGGCCACATCATCGCGGGGGCCGCCCGCCCTCCGGCCGCTTCCGCGCCTGCTCAGTGGCGGCGGCGCTCACCTCAGCCGGAGCTGTCACCGCCGCCGGGCTGGTCCCTCCCGCCGCAGCGATGGAGCGCGGCCCCGGCGCGCCGCCGGCACCGCTCCCGCCCAGGTGAGGGGAGGGCGCGGCTCGAGGGGGCGGCGGGGCGAGCGCCAGCGAGGGCAGAGGGGCCGGGCGGGCCGGCGACCTGCCGCCCCGGGGGCGAGGGCGGCGGCGGGGGCTGCGGGCGGGAAAGTTTCCTCGCGAGTGGCGGAGCAGCCCCGCGCCCCCCGAGCTCCGCGCCGGCCCGCCGCGCTGCCGGGCTGCCCAGGGGCTGTGGGGCACGCGGGGCCGCCGACTCCCTCCCACCCTCCTCCCCCGCGCGATGCCGGCCCCGGCCGGCGTTCCCCGGGTGCGATGGGGCTCGTCCCCCTCCCCGTGCAGCGGGCCCCGAGCCGCCCGCCCCCGCAGCTTCCCTCCGCAGCCTCCCTCCGCGCACTCCTTTCCCCCGCACCCCGCAGCCGCTCGCCGGCCTGCCCAGGGTCCTGGCCCGGACCGCGGATGCTGCGGGCTTTTGGCCCCGGTACCCTGCGCTCCTCAGAGCCCGGAGCGCGTTTCATCATGTGCGCGTAATTATGCACTGCTCCAGGTAGCCCGGACAATGAGCCTTTTCTTTGGTTTCTCTGTGCGTGCACAAGACCTGCCCAACATTGCCAGTGGCCCTTATTCCCTGGCACTCTGTACATCCGTATGTGCAGGCAGTTCTGCTCCCACCTTTGCACCCATAAAAGTATACCAGACTCTTGTCACCGCGGTTGCAGTTGCTAGAGGAGCATGGCACCTCTACCCGAACAGCACATGGACAGACTTCAACGATCATCTCTTTTTTTGTTTACAAGCATTTAACATGTGATGGTGCATTTATTCTCTTTCCATACTTTTCTGCCGAAACATAGAAGCTTTTTGTGATTTAGTCTGCTTTCTACTCTCTCATTATTTCCCAATTAAGTTCAGGTTGTAGCTGTCTATTTCTTTATTTTCAGTTAATGTTATAGTTTCCTCTTCCCTGATCCCACTGTCCAGGATACAGTTGTGTGTCTTCTTCACTTACATTTGATCCTGGCTTATAGATCACATTGTAATAAGTGGATCATATAAAATGAAAGAATTGTTTAGTCCTTAGGAAGAGTCCTAGCAGTGTTTAGTAGATGTCCCTAGTTATCTTCACTTTACCAGTTCAGTAATGCAAGTAAAAAGATGAAAGCAGGTAGAATGACCTGTTTTGGCAGCATTCCCTACATGTACTGCCCTAAGAGATTGTGAAACTGGATCCATAAATACTGCACTATGACTGGTAGACACTTCAGAAGGAAAAATAGCAGTGTATAATTTTCTTTTCAAATACTTCTAGGATATTATCCACAAAAAACAATGTGAAGTCTGTATCCTAGTGCCTGAGTTAATAAGTAATTAATCTTTCCTTGGTGCTGACAGTAGAAAACTGTAATCAGGATCCCAAATAGTACAGTTTTGACTCATCCTGGTAAGTACTTACTGGTTACTTAATCTAGAGGACTGCCTTATCTCTTATATTTCATACTTTTCCTACCTGCTTTTGATGGGCTGCAGGATGTGATTTGCCTGGTATTTTTCACGTTGGTATTCCATTTGGGTGACTTTACAACCTGTCCACATTTCACAGCCTTGCTACCTCGTTTCTGGCTCTGTTTTGATCTCTTCTAAGCGAGTTTCCTTAGAAGTGCAGAGGCAAACCAAATCCTTTTCTCACAACTGCTTTTCCCTTCCTTGGGTCCAAAATCGAAAGCTGCCGTGTTCAGGAAGTGGAATGCAGCAGTCTCAAACTTGTCTGAAAATTGAACCTGAGGCTGGCAGGTCTTTCAGTGTCTTACTCTCAAGAAGGCATCTGGAGGTTCTTTAATCTATTTATTTCCCCTTATTATTTTTTCTTTTTGTTTC